GTTTTGATACTAATCAACCAAGTCTGAGAATTGCATGTGAGCACAGACTGCCTCACTATTTGATGAGTTAAAACTGAATTGAAGACAATGCAATCACTAGCGAACATCCCATTCCTGGCCTTTTGATGAAGGGAATGTCATTGACAAAGCAGCTGAATAATGAAGGAATCCAGTTATATGTTTGTAAGCAAAAAGGCTTAAAAAAATCATAATTGTTTCAACTAGCAGGGACGAGTCAATGGACCATCTCTTCTCCTGAGGTCCCACCATCGCAAAAAGCACTCTTCATCCATATCAATTCACTCCTCACAATGTGAAGAATGACGAAATGCTTTACATATAGCAAAGGCTATGAGCCCAACTGGCCTAATACTCCTGAATGACAAGCAGATTTGTCAAGAAACTTAGCTTCCTCCTGAAGCTATCTGCCTTGCTTCAGTTGCGAGGTTTTTCCAATGATTGACAAGTTCAGCTGCACCCAGTGGACCCAAAAATCGGATGCTGCAAACTCGCTTTCTGACATTTGGTCAGCTGTGTTTGTATTGTCTTCCCTTCTTAAACCTTGAGGTCAGTAGATTGGTGCCAAATACACAGAAATTTTCCCTAATTTACCCCTCCTATGCACTCATATCCAATCCCATGTGCTGATCCATATTAAAACGCTCCGCCATATTTAATCCTCCCTCAATTTTTTTCTGGCTTCCTTGCACCAATGAGGTTTAGAACATTAATCCTTAATTTCTGATAATTTAAGACAATTCTGAAGAATTTGCAACCCAATCTCCAGCCTTTTTTATGTTGCCCTGGAATTTCCAGGAAGGGGTGGGAGGTACAGGCCCAACAGAACCTTTTAACTGAGGTGACCATTCCCACCTGTCAGCTAATTATGTAAAAGTAGGCTTCCTTTATAAGTAACCAGTAGAAATCAGAAGGTCGCAATCTCAGAGTTTCCCTGGCCTGCAATTTTGCCTTCTACTGTGCTAGGCCTCACCAGGATACAGACGTGCAATGCAAGTGTCTCACACTGTGTAAATGAAAATGCCAACCATCCTGAGCCCCACAAGAGTAACTCATGGTGTGTACTCTTCCTGTCAAGTGCTGGGACAAAGTAGAAGCCTACTGCAATATCTCTGATGATAACGTTATTGAAATGCTTGCAAACTTACTACAGCACTGGTTTTATGATTTATTCTAGGGCACATTTTTATTCTTATTTAACCAAATTTGCCCTGTAGATCTGTGGAGGAGACAAACCGTTCCTTGCACCAAATGACCTCCAGAGCAAACACTTGGGACTCCGAGAAGAAGCTGTCAAATTATTCCGTGGAGTTAAGAAGATGGGAGGAGAGGAGTTCAGTCGCCGCTATTTGCAACAATTGGAAAATGAAATTGATGAGTTGTACATAAACTACATAAAACACAACGATAGTAAAAACATCTTCCATGCTGCCCGTACACCAGCCACTCTATTTGTGGTAATATTTATTATGTATGTCATAGCTGGCGTGACAGGATTTATTGGAGTGGACATTATAGCCAGTCTGTGCAACATGATAATGGGGCTGGCTCTGATCACCCTGTGCACTTGGGCATATATTAGATACTCTGGAGAATACAGAGAACTTGGAGCGGTCATCGACCAAGTAGCAGGCGCCTTATGGGACCAGGTAAGTGAATCGCTGATTCTTTTTCTATATTTCTGAGATAATAGTCTTTTGCAGTTTAGATGACACCGAATTACTTTCCAACAGCTGTAAAATGGAGGTGTTTTTATTTAATCTGTAATATTCATTTTAGATTTGAATTATAATTTTTAAGAAATTTGGAATCTTGGTTTTGAGATTTGAATATTAGTAAATGCAACTGGTTAGAGTATAGGTTAGCAAAAAATATTCTAAACTGCAGTTTAAAGCACTGTTGCCACATTCATTCACATAATTGATTTGCCACCTTGTCCCAGATTGGGTCAGCTGCCTGTCTCTTGTCTGCTTGGACACATTGTCAGAATGAACTCAGAGTCTTTCCTGATGTAATGTCATCAAAATGAGATTGACTTATCAAAATTCTTGCCTGTTTGCAAGAGGGACTCAAAAGGGATTGATATAGCAAAAATATTTCGGGTCAACAACAATTTATTGGTTATATTTTTATATTTAACAATAATAAGACAACTAATTGAAATATATGTTGAAATCTAAACCTTGATCTTGTTAACATAACTTATTCATGTATAACAAATAACAATTTTTTCTAACTTTATTTATTTTAACTGATTAACCATACCATTAAAAGAGTGCATTTATGTTAGTGGTTGTGGTGTTAGATTCCTACCCATGTGAATGGAGTAAATTTCAAATCTGAATCCAATCTTAGCTGCAGTCTTTTGGAAACTTTTACCATGTCATTTTGGTCACTAGATGAAGATCATTCAGTCTTAGGAGAAGGAAAAGCTGACTAAACCCATTTCTTATTAAATAACTAGATCTGGTGCAACAGGATAATATTGTGACATGAATAGAAGAAATAGCCAATTGTGAGGCCCAGATTGTGTAATTTCCTTGTCTGAAAGAGAGAACACAGAAAGAAGGGAGGGAGTGGGCATGTTTATTTTATAGTTAGAGATGCAAAACGAAGGACCAAAGTAGGCCACCACTAAGGTGAAATTAGTAATGGAACACAAGATAAGTCAGATGTAATATTTAACTAAAACTCAAGTTTAGGCCTAAAAAGCCTGTAAAATGTAGATGAACCAAGCAAGAGAACATTCAGCAGAAGAATGACCATATAGAATTGATAAGAGATAACAAAATGCTATATATAGAAAAATTGGAGCAGTGGGGATCTTTATAAAGGCAGAATGCAAAAAGGAAAAATAGAAAAATATGCTTTACAAAATCTTATTTGTTCATTTAAACCCATGCATTAAAAATAATTGAAGTAAGTAAAGTGTCTGTTGAATTAAGAATGTTTGTACTTTTGCTTGTTGTTTCACAAAAAAATGGTACTTGGATTAGCTTTCTCCTTTCAATACTTTCTCTCTCCTTTCTGCAATTCCATAGGGAAGTACTAATGAGGTAAGTCTTCATTTATGTACTATCTTGCTAGGCTGCACCTTAAAATCAAACAAATTTCATTGTGATCAATCTTTTGCCTGCATTTTTGGATTCTCTTTATTAAAGTCATTTTCCTGGTGCCTACTGGCAGATAAGCATTTTTACTTAAGGAGGTTTAAAGTTTGACACATTTCCATAAAAACAAACTTCTTCTGAATTTTCTGCAATATTTGACACCTTACTGTGCTCCTTGTGGGTGGGAGGACCTAGAAGCTTCATATGCCAGTCCGTTCAAGCACACATTCTCTTTAATAAACAAATTTGCAGAATATAATTCAAATTAGTCATTAGAGTCATAAAGGCCTACAGAAAAAGGCCCTTTGGCCCATCGAGTATGCACCAGTCAAAAATAACACCAACCTATTCTAATTCCATGTTCCAATCCTTGCCCTATAGCCTTGGCATTGCAAGTGCACGTTTAAATACTTCGTAAATAATATGAGGGTTTTGGCCTCTACCACCGTTACAGGCAGTGAGTTCCAGATTCCCACCATTTTTCCCACCATTTTTCCCACCATTCCTACTTATTCTGGGTGAATAAGTTTTTCCTCACATCTCCTCTAAACCTTCTGCCCCTTTGCCATAAATCTACACCCCTACCGTCTATCAAGGGGAAAAGGTTTTACTTGTCTACCCTTTTTATATATATGTGTGTGTGTGTGTATATCTTTCATATATTGTAAGTAATGTTTGATTCATTTTATAAACTACCATTGCATTTCAAATGGTAATACATTTAGACATTAGACCAAGTACATTATGCATGTATTTTTCAAGATTTCACCTTTAATGTATTTCTTTCCCAGTTTCAATATATCATAATTGCAATATGACAATATGAGACAACCTTCCAAATCTGAAACTGCCCCTGAAATGTGAGTCTGGCTGTAAAGACTCAATCTTTGATTCGCCATTTTCCTATCCTCTTGGCCCATCTCTCAGACAGTCAGGACAAAATTTGAAAATCATGGATTCAAACTTGCACACAATATTGCATTATCTAAAATGCATAGAAACATATTGACTATTTTTACACCCATCTTTCTTTAAAACCAGAGCAGCATTGAAGGAGGTCATTTACCTCATCAAATCTGCACCAATTCTATCAAAGGCCATTCCAATTCGTGTCACACCCCATTCTTTCCATACCTTGCATTTCTTTTTTCCTTTTTTTTTCCCAAGTATTTGTCCAATGTCCTTTTGAAGTTTACTGTTTGAATTGGTGTTCAATATCAGGCAGTACATTCCAAAACTTAAATGTTGAGCTTTGATAATCCTGTGTTCAAACAATGTACGCTTATTATTAAAGAGAGAAAAACCATCGTACTCAAAAGCAGAAAATCATCTACTTTGCAGTCAGTCAGTTTACATGGTACTGGAGATATTTTAGTTAGCTACGTTTATAATCCCTGTTGTACATTAGCTACATGTCGTATAGGACTACATTAGAGAAACTGATCCTGAACAAAATAATTTAAAGTAAGAAGTTTTTTATTAATTCATAGGATATGGATCTTACTGCCCATTCCTAATTGAGAAGGTGGTGGTGAACTGCCTTCTCAACGCGCTGCAGTCCATTGTGGGTAGGTACGGACACAATACTGTTAGGAAGGGAGTTCCAGGATTTTGATCAAGTGACAGAGAAGTAATTTTGTAAGAGTTATGACCGTAGATTGCAGGTTTAAAACAGCTCTGTTTATTGAATCAGTTTACAGAGACAGGTTGACAGACCCAGCAAAGTTCAGATTTGAGAGATTGCAGTGTAGAAGTTTTCTTACTCTGAATACCCAAAGACATAGTGGACAACAGTTATCATTGGCACATTTGGAAATGTGTTCCATAGGATTATATAATGTTATACTTCATAGATAAAGCAGGGGAATTTCAAACTGATAAATTGTGAAATTAGACCTTTAGAATACATTTTGAAACTAATTAGAAAAAAACTGAAGTGATAAACTGAGGAACCAGTTAAATTATTGAACATCTTGCAGACACTGTAATTGTTCATCTTATAATGTTCATTCGAATTTCAGAGATTTATGCCAACATCTCAAGGTTTGATCCCCATTACACTGAAGAAGCTGTGGGTAATGTGTCGGTGTCCTACCCTTGATAGGAAATCAAAGCACTTTGCTGTTGTTGGCAAATAGTTGCTGAGGACCTGCCTTCTGGCAAACACCTGAGCAACAATAATCCACTTGACTTAACCTCAATTACAAGAGAAATTCCACAAACAAGAGGAAGAATTTAAATAGGGTACTTCTGCCATTTTAATGTAATTTTTCTCATATTTTGCAATTGCATAGATTCACTGCATTTTGGGTTTAGCTGTTCAGTTTTATCAAATCTATTCAAAATGGAATATTTAGTGAAATATTTTGACTATCAATAATGGGTAAATCATGTACCTAAACACTTGCTGCATTTCAGCTAGGGTGAAATTGGTACTTCGTGCCATGACTGTGTAGACCATTTTTGGCCAGTAGTGGGTGCTGAAGCTATGAATTCAGGATAAGCATGACGATCAAGCCAGCATCATTTTACACCCTCTCTAATGATTCTTCAAAAGAGAAACTAGTCAACTTCGTCATAGTTATGTATCAGCTGGTACCGGTATAAAATTACACAAGTTCTCATTTGGATTTTTTTTCCTGACCGGGTAATGCTAAGTCGGAAACTAATTTTTGGAAGGTTATGTCTATCTAAATGCCCTGTTAATTAGTATAATAGATTCAACAAAGGCATGGAATGTAAAACTTTTAAAACATAGCACTTTACGTTATTCTCACCTTTTATTTATTATCAGAAGCACCTGCCCTGTACTCCCTAGCCACACAAGGAAGAACGGGAAACGCACTCTAGAGAGAGTCATAGCTCCAGAGCACCATGTACATGTTATTGTATTAGACAAGACAACGGCCTAGTAGCGTTATCACTAGACTGTTAATCCAGAGACTTTTGTAATGTTCTGTGGACCGAAGACCAAATACTGCCATGGTAGATGGTGGCTTTTGAAATCAATTACAAATCTGGAATTAAGAGCCTAATGATGACTGTGAAACCTTTTAGGGGAAAAACCTATCTGGTTCATTAATGCCTTTCAGGGAAGGAAACTGATGTCCTTACTTGGTCTAGCTTTTATGTGACTCCAGACCCACTGCAATGTGGCTGACTCTTAAAGGGATGTGCATTAAATGCTGGCCTAGCCACCAACATCCATGTCCAATGAATTAAAAAAAAACAAAAACTACAAAATCTACAATCTTAAAGCAATAATGCACCTTATCTATCTATGCTGTCTTGTAAGAAGATTTCAGATGTTCAGTGACCTTAATTGCAGAAATGAACATCTCTACATCAAAGTACAATTGTCAAAGCTAATTTTTTGTATTGCAACAAAGTATAAAATTATATACCCAACCCCTCTACTGAAATTATTTAGGGAAATGTGGCCAATCTGATCTATTCTGCTTTGAGTAAAGGTTTTATTGTTTGCAAATGAAAATGTCATAATCATTCAGTCAGCTGTAAAACTCAAGTTGAGCAGCTATTGAATATCTGTTTAAATCAAAATGAGAGTTGAATCATGATTTTAAGTCTGGTTTAGTTATAATGTTTATAAACAGTGATTTACTGGTTCTGCAAGCAGTCATGACTGAACTACCTGTATTTGGTTCTGCTGGTTTCTGTGAGCATAATGTATGTTGTTTTTGTGTCCAAATAGGCTCTTTTCAAGCTATATGATGCAGCTACAAGCCACAGACACATTTATCACCACACCTTCCCTGCAGCACAACCAGAAAGCAACGCAGACACCAAGAAGAAAAAATGATTTGACTGGATTCCTCTGCTGCACATTCCCAAGGGAAATCTTCCATTATTATTGTGCATTCCCATGCCACTAATCCAAGAAGTGCTATATAAATGGAAAGCCAATGATATGATAGCTTGTAACTGAATGAAATCATGTACCAACACTGAACACTGTGCTGGTTTCACTTATAGTTATGTTGCAAATTGTATTGTGAAAATGTGCTAGTTTGCATGATTTTGTTAACTGTTGGTATGAGTCAAATGTTCTTCCATCAAGAATGTACACTTAATGATTTTTCATCACTTTAAAGTACTTCTGGTACCTGGTATTTTGTTTTTTTTCAATGGAACATTTGTCTTCCGTAAGAACTTTAATTTTCAGTGTAAGCACTGCACACTTAAAACATTTACTATTTATTGAATGTTAAAACCTGTTTTGGAACTCAATTTCTTTATTGTCTTAAGATTGCAATATAGTATATGTTTAAAAAAACATTTTTGCTCATGGCTACAGCAAAATGTTTCCACACAAGAAAAATAAATTTGTTTTATTACTTTATGTCAGCTCATCTTAACAAATCATTGTGTCCTGATAAAATATTTAAGTCGACTTTAAATGCAACATTTACTTTAGTTTAAGACCAAAAATAGCAGCCAGCAAGACCAGATTGATATGTTACCATTACTTTTAGTAAAAGAGCACAAATACATCACATACAATATCTAAATTAATTAGCTGCTGAATTCTATTCTGTTTCTGTTTTCATTCTGTAAATAACAGTTCCTCTGCACAAATGTAACCATGAATTTCCACACAGCGGGTTGTTTCTTATCATGGAAAATAATTCAAATAATCAGTCAGATGTCAAAAAGTAAAGGAATTTATGAAATGGGGAAAAACAGTCCATAAAAAAGAAGTTTCTGAAATTCATATAAATTTTACCCTTCACTCCACCAAAAGCAATTTTAACTTGTGGTAATACAAGTATACTTGTCCAGGTATACAGGAAATCAAAATTGAAGAACAATCTCCAGGTAAAGCTGTTACTTTCTGGTCTGTTGAGTGCTACCAAAAATCTTTGTAGACTTCATTGATATTGGCCAATCATTAAGGCAAGCAGATCTTTACCAATAGGAAATATGAAAGTTAAATATTTCATCAGATAAAGCTCATAAGGCCCTTTACCCAAGTACAAATAATAAAAAAGCCCTGCACATTTGTGAAAACTCAACTGTGTTGAACATTAAATGTGATTCTCTAATTGGAAAACATTTGGTAAGTAACATTGATTGTGCCAAGAGTGATGCCGTCAATCAGTGTAGGATTGTCAGTCAGGTTTGTAGTGTGGCACATTTGCACATAGAGGAAGGTGCATATTTTGTTACACCCCCCTATTTTTCGGAGAGATAATGTATTAAACAGGCGACAACTGATCTCTGGTTCATTTCTTACAGCAATGCTTTGATTAATCATAGTCAACCCATTGTGGTTTAAAACGTTTAAAAAAAAAAATGCTTAGCAGTTAACTGTCAATCATCATCTAACTGTGCATTTGCCATGGCAATACCACTGCCAAATCCACTTGTTAATCAATCAGGACTCTCATTTACACAGTGACAATGTTGTTTTGCCTTTTATATTTGTATTTCTTGCAAATTACCCTGAATAGTACAAGATGAAAGCTTCAAAAAAGTTATTTTTCAGCAATACTCAATTTCTGTACTACCAAAGAACTAATGAAAAATTACTTTCAGTATGAAATCAACTGTCCATAATTAAGAGCTTTTTTTTCCATTCTATTTATGAGATGGTAAACTAAGACATTGATTGCTTTATCAGGGGGTCAATAATGCAAGTAAAGGTAAGATGTTAGGGTAGTTATTTTGGAAGCATGAGATCAGTTAGTCTAAATGATATTATTCATGCAAGTCTAATACTAGAAATAACTTGTTTGATATTTTTAACATTTCTATCTTTGCCTCCCTTATTAGGTTTCTATCTATTCATTTTTGTATATTATTTCTTGTCATGTTCTGTTTATTGCTGGAAAGAACAATTTGTCGAAGCATTTCATCTCAGACTCCAGACTGCTAAGACTATCAATAAAAAGGACAACATCATTGTAAATATTTTTTCTAATTAACCTGTTCAGAGATGCTTTTACACACCTGTGGATTTTAATCCAGATCTCCTGGCTCAGAGGTAGGGACACTGTCACTGTGCTAAAGGAGCCCAGGGAACAATATTGTATGCTGTATGAGATAAGAGTGCTGATTAATGACAAGTGGACTCTGAATGATAGAAGATTGCCATGGAGAATGCACCAGTTAGATGATAACTGACAGTTAACTGTCAAGCTTTGCTTAAATTTAAACCAGGCAGGTTGCCTTAGATTGGACATGGCATTGTCATGTAGAATGAATGCAAGATTGACTGTTGCCTGTTTTGTTAATTGAAATTGTTGCAGTCTGTGCATATGCTCTTTCTGTCTGTAGTTAAAAGGGTCCAGTATAGTAATACATGTAGCGTCCAGTACATGCAAGTACATCATACTGAGGCCCAACTGACAATCATTATATTGATTGTCATTGTAATATTAACTGTCAAATGCCTATTCCGGCTAATGTTTCATTGTATTACCTTTTCTAGTTCACTTTATTCATTCACTGTTACCTTTACTCACAACAAATTTTTCCTCTTTTGTCAATTCAACTTTTTCAAAAATGATTAAAAATTGCTGTAGTAACACAGTGGTCATAGTTACTACAATGATTACTAATAGCAGCAGTTTGGTATGAAAGGTTCACATAATTGGAGGTACATGTGTGGAATCCAATTAATTTAAATGTTCTTAATTATAAAAAGCAAGTTAACAAAAGCAGAGATGCCGAAAGCATGTTATGGAACATTCCATTTTCAAAATACACAAAACTAATTTCAAAATGCTTAAACTCGTATTTATAAGTTTAAAAAGGAAGCTTTGCCTCAATTCAGTACACTAGATGCAAATAATTCACTACATATAATACTAATTTTAAAATTGTCGCACAAGGGCTTTCAGTATAAAGTAGTAGCACTGATAAAAACTAAGTTAATTTTATGGTACCAAAACTGTCTCTCGTTAACACATGCCAATTCCTTTAGGTATGTTTAGAAATAGAATCAGGATTGAAATAGTTATAACTCTATATTAATGTTATTTTATATTTTGGGAGCATTATAAAGCACATATGAACTGTCTGCCTAATAAATTAATTAATTTTGTCATTAATGATAACATGCTGCAAATATTTGGTTTTCTTAGACAATGTCACAGTCTAAGTGGCCTCATCACATTCACAGGGTTGCAAATATTGCAAATGTGCCATAAAACTTCAAAGCCTTCTGGATCAAAGATTACCACATCTCTAAATGTTTACGCTACAAATTTCAAAAGATGACAATTGCACTAATTTGATTTTATCTGTTTAAGTAAATATAAAAATATTCCCATCTCTCCTGACAACAGACTGTATTTAGAGTGTTATCTGTAATTCTACCAAACTTAGTTGGCCCCAGTGTTACTTGTTGATATTAGTGTGGTCTCATTCTTTGCACTTTTATAAATTTCAGTTTGAAATGTGCAAGCTGAAATGTAGTTAAATTCTAGCAAATATTGTCATGACAGTGCAAACACTGCAATTTATTCTTGCCTTATTGTAACTGTAAATCATTTGATAAATAAATACTTAGTGATATAGTGATCATAACTGGTATGCCAAATGATTTTAAAATAATGAATGTTACATTTTGAATTTGTATGCTCAGCTATGTGCATGGTCATAAAACATTGAAAAGCTACTCTATCTATTCTCTCCCTCACTGAACAGTATTTTCAGCCTCTCAAATGTGGATTACCTAATTTATATGATCAAAAACAATTTTACACTAATCTATTTATGTCATGTCCTGCCCTACATAAAATAAAAGTAGTTCACAAAATGCGAGTCTTCGTAACAGGTAATGCACTTATTTAATATTTTGTTCCAAGGATTTTGCTGATTGAAAACTGGACTGAGATTTTCTGACACACTTTCAATTGGAGACCCTAAAGCTACCAAAGACGCAATTGCCATATGAAGTGAATCTTGGCTGGATTCAAACCAAGGTCCAGAGGTAAAAAGTTATTGAGCAACAGTAATTAAAGCATTCATATTGTGGTACAAGCTTTGTAATCCCGCAAAATAGCAGACTATTCATTTTTTGATGCCAAACAAACGAAAAACTAGTTATCTTTGAAAATAAATAAAACTAGTTGCTTCCAAATATTAAACATCCTGCTTTTAGGATGTGGGTTGAGGAACAATAGATTCTTTTAAAAGTGGACCTGTAGTTAGCCGAGTAGGAGGAAATAGGTACATTACTCTGATAACTTAAAAGGTATTTCTGTCTCTGAGCTCACCAGAGTTTAAGAATTACCTCATCTCAAAAGTGCCATTACTCGGCATGTTACAATTGGCTGCCATATTGCCTACTTCTAAATGCTATGCCTTTAACCTGTTTGAAAATGCACTAGAATAGGATCAGGCACAATTATAATGCTTTAACAAGCAAAACGTCCACTACCTTACCTACCAGGAAGATGTAATCAAAAATAATCGATACCTGCTGAATAAGTATTCAGAAGAACATAATAAGGAAAAGGCCATTCAGTCCATGGTAATGTATAGAAAGAATTTTTCTATTGATACAAAATCCTGTACTCTATTAACTACCTTGAATAAGCAAATCAATTAATGTTGACTGCACCGAGTCCAATTACACCACCAGGATTTTGAGCTTTTAGCCATGGATGAAGCAAAATATCAGCTAAAGGACATCTCAACTCAGATTTTGCTCATTCTCATTGAATAAACCAAATAATACTTAGAATTTTAGCCCACAGAACTTTGGCTGAAGCAATAAACTTTCCATGAAGGAGGTCCATCTGTAGTGTAGGTTCTGTTTCTAAAATCAAGCCTATACAGGTACTAATACAAGCTCTCTTGCCCTAGCGTCTATGAACACATGAACAATGCTAGATGGTAAAGATACTGGCTGAATGATTGTGGTTTAACCCCACATCTCAGCCTGCCCATATTCAAAACTTTTGATTGTCTTATATACACAAAAAAATCTAAGTCATCCTTCAGTATATTCACGGAGCCAGCCTCAACAGTTCTCTGGAATAAAGCATGATAAAGATTACCCACCTTCAAAATAAATTTATTATCTCAGTTAATAGATCGTGATAAATTGATTTAGGTTTAATCCCTGAACAGGTCACTAAAAGCAATTCTTTCTAAATGTTCATGTATTGAAAATCACAAACTAGAAAATAAATGAAACATAATTAGGGCAGCACCGCCTGGGCTTTTAGAGCTTGATTGCTCAATCTGCAGTTACTCTAGTGTGCCTTGAAATTAAAACAATAGCAAAAAAATTTTCAGTCTTCCTGAAAGTAAAAAGCTATAAACATAGTTTTTGCTATATGTAGATTACTCCAAAATGTTTTGTTAAATTGCTATTAGTTTCAGTGTTATTCTTTGAAATCAGTTTACCATCCCTTATTATATTGTAATGCAAGGCCACCATCAACATACTATCCACTGTGAAAGTTAAAGGCTGCATGCATGCTACAAACTTGAAAAGAGTTGTAAACTGTTGGTTGTACACTGGCTGTAGTCACTTCCCATTTTGAATTATTGCTATGGAGAATTGTAAATTGCTATCAAATTTTCAGGTGAATGCCAGGAATAGATAAACAAAAGTAATACAGATAATGCCGCTGCATTTAAAATGAAACACTTTACATAGTTGATTGAGAAATTGTATTGGAGAAATTGGAGGGTGAATGGGTTCACGACATATGCTGGAGGAGGCTGCCTAAAGCTTGAACTCTTGTAACCATTTTCAAATATTGGAGATGCTGTGAACTTCATTCAGCTCTGCATCATTGTTTAAGCAAACCCAACTGTTCTTAACCACAGATCAGTAACATGCATCATGCATTCAATTTTGTGAGATTTGGATGAATGACACTTGGATTAGTGTATAACATTGGTCTCTTTATCTCAGGATATTATTGTCATAGAGGGAGTGCAACAAAGATTCAACAGACTAGTTCCTGACATGACATGACTACCCTGCACATAGACTGAGCACACTGGGCGTGTATTCTCTGAAGTTTTGAAGAATGGAAGGTGATCTCATTGACACCTACAAAATATTTAAAAAGGATAGACATGGTGCTATGCACTAGAAACGTAGAAAATAGGTGCAGGAGTAAGCCATTCGGCCCTTCAAACCTGCACCACCGTTCAATATGATCATAACAGATCATGCAATCTCAGTATCCCATTCCCACCCTCTCCTCATAACCCTTGATCCCTTTAGCCGCAAGGGCCACGTCCATATCCATATCCCTCTTGAATATATCTAATGAACTGGTTCCAACAGCTTCCTGTGGGAGAGAATTCTACAGGCTCACAACTCTCAGTGAAGAAATTCTTCCTCATCTCAGTCCTGAATGGCTTACACCTTATTCTTAGACTGTGATCCCTAGTTCTGGACTTCCCCAACATTGGGAACATTCTTCCCGCATCTAGCCTGTCCAGTCCCATCAGGATTTTATGTTTGTGTGAGATCCTTCCCACCCATTCTTCTAAATTCCAGTACAAGCCCAGCCGAAGCAGTCTTTTCTCATGTATCAGTCCTGCCATCCCAGGGATCAGTCTGGTGAACCTTCGCTGGATGCCCTCAATAACAAGAATGTCCTTCCTCAGACTAGGAGACCAAAACTGCACACAATACTCAAGGTGTGGCCTCACCAAGGCCCTGTATAACTACAGCAAGATATCCTTACTTCAGTACTCAATTCACCATTAGGTTTCCTCACTGCCTGCTGCACCTGCATGTCAACCTTCAGTGACTGTTCCACCATGACACCAAGGTCTCATTGCACCTCACCTTTTCCTGAACAACCACCGTTCAGATAATAATCTGCCTTCCTGTTTTTGTGACCAAAATGGATAACCTCACGTTTATCCACATTATATTGCATTTGCCAAGTATTTGCCCATTTCAGTCAGTCTGTCAAATTCACCCTGCAGCCTCTTAGCATCCTCCTCACAGCACACACTGCCGCCCAGCTTTGTCGTATGCAAATTTGGAGATATGGTATTCAATTTCTTCATGCGAAACGTTAATGTATATTGTGAACGGCTGAGGTCCAAGCACTGAACCCTGCGTCACCCCACTCGTCACTGCCTGCCACTCTGTTTATTCCAACTCTCTGCTTCCTGTCTGCCAAGCAATTCTCTATCCTTGTCAATGCATTACCACCGATACTGTGAGCTTTAATTTTCCTTACTAATCTCGTGTGGAACCTTGTTGAAAGCCTTTTGGAAGTCCAGATACACGACATCTGCTGATTCACCATTGTCTACTCTACTGGTCACATCCTCAAAAAATTCCAGATTTGTCAAGCATGATTTCCTTTTAGTGAATCCATGCTGACTAGGACCAATTCTGTCACCACTTTCCAAATGCTCATTTATTACATCCTTAATGATTGACTGCAGCACTTTTCTCCACCACTGATGTCAGGCTAACCAGCCTATAATTCCCCATTTTCTCTCTCCCTCCTTTTCTAAAGAGTGGAGTTACATCAGAGATTCAAAGCCCTGACCAGCCAAAAATATTAAAACTTTGTGAAATCTATAGCTGCAGGAGCCACCACAAGAATTCAAAGTCAGCAACTTGGAAATGACTGAGGGTGCTTCATAAAATGGGGTGGTAAGGATGACAGTGACTGATGATGATGACGACAAGGTCACCATTGGCAACATCAGACTCCAACGAACTTGAATCTGAAGAGTGAACAACCTTGTGGCTCTTCTGCAGCAAAGCTGCATTCCAGAGGCATTGAGTTTTTTTTTGTCCCAGGGAACATCAATGGAATTGCAGTAGTTGAGGCAGATTCAGATTTGTTTGAAGACAAACCTTAGAAAACCTGGAGTTGATCTTTCGGATTATTTTAACTATGGGGTCAATAAAGAGACCTGGAAAGCTTATTGTTAGAAACAATGAAGACTCCATTCAGTACCTGAACTTTTACTTGCAACTGCTTCAGAGAGCAAAAAAAGGGTTCGGAAAGGGAAGGAATGCAATATAGAAAGGACCAAGAAGATAATTTACTGAAAATGGAATTGAAAGATGATTTTACATCTCCATCTGGCAGAAGGATGAAAGCAGGCCTACCGCCTAATAGAAAACTTACTGGTGTTGGTGTTATTATATACAGGTTCTGTCAGAAGGGTAGAATGAAGGCCTTGAGACAAACATGGAGGAGTTGAGACTGCAATTCAGGTTCTTCGAGACCCATGGAAACAAAAGCGTACCACTGTTGAAAAAAGTACCGACAACCACAGGGAGTACCAAGGGCATTGGTGAAAGGGAGTGAGAACATGATCAAGACAGAAATCATGAATGAGATCGTGGCCCAACGCCTATAACATTGATGACGTAGTAGACAGCGAAGGAGGTTATCTCAGAGTATAACAGGACCTTGATCAGATGGACAAATGGGCCAAGGAGTGGCAAATGGAGTTTAATTTAGATAAATGTGAGGTGTTGAATTTTGGTAAGGCAAAGCAGGGCACGACTTATGCAGTTAAAGGTAAGTCCCTGGGGACTGTAGCCTAACAAAGAGACCAAGGGGTGCAGATGCACAGTTCCTTGAAAAAGGAGTCGCAGGTAGACAGCGTCACTAAGGCGGCATTTGGCACGCTTGCCTTCATTGGTCAATGCATTGAGTATAGAAGTTGGGACATCACGTTCTAGCCATACAGGACATTGCCAAGACCACTGTTAGAATACTGCGTTCAATTTTGGTCTCCCTGCTATAGGAAAGACGTTGTTAAACTTGAAAGGGGTCAGAAAATATTTACAAGGATATTGCAGGGATGTTTCAGGGATCGGAGGTTTTGAACTATATGGAGAGGCTGAATAGGCTGGGGATTTTTTCCCTGGAGGCTGAGGCGTGACCTTACTGAGGTTTATCAAATCATCAGGAACATGGATAGGGTTAATAACCAAGGTCTTTTTCCTAGGGTGGGGGAAGTGCAGAACTAGAGGGCATAAGTTTAAGGTGAGAGGGGAAAGATTTAAAAGGGACCTGAGGAGCAATTTTTTCATGCAGAGGGTGGTGTGGGTATGGAACAAGCTGCCAGAGGTGGTGGTGGAGGCCACAATTACAACATTATAAAGGCATTTAGATGGGCACATGAATGGGAAGGGTTTAAGAGGGTTATGAGCCAAATGATCTGTGAAAGGTAGATTTGAGGAGTTCAAGTAGGTTTTTCACTCATTAGTTACCTCTACGCAGCACAGACTGCTGCTAGAGTGGAACTAAGTACCAAAGAGCATTAAAGTCAGTAATGGCACCATTGAATGACTCTTAGTCATGGATGTTGAGGCCCCCTACCCAGAGTATATTTTGTTGCCTTGTCATCCTCAGTGCTCCGTCCAAGTGGCATTTAACATGAAGGAATTCAGATTCATGAGATGAATGCAGGCAAGGTGGAGTGGGGGGAGACTGTAATTATGTTTTCTTGCCAACATTAGACATTAAAGTTCATGAGATGCAGAGTCAATATTGAGAACACATCAATGAGACAGGAGATACACATGGACAGTGATGCTGTGTGTGGGGATGTCTGTTAAGGTTTAATTCTGAGAATGTGACAAATCATTGGTGGACTAGCTCTCCCAATTTTGGCATGAGCCCCTGTTGTTTGGTAAGGAGGACATTGCAGCATAGAGCTGGGGTGGTTCATTGCTGTCTGGTTTTACTCTTAAGACTTCTCCCTAGCAGTTTTGGTAAAATCAAGTGGCTTGCTAGGGCATTTCGGAAGGTATTCAAAAGTCAATAACATTTCTTTGTCTTCAGTCACATGTACAATGGCACAAATGGCAGATTTCCCTCCTAAAGATTTATTAATTGGACTCAAATTCCACTAGGTACTACAATGGGATTCAAACCCAGCGCCCTAGAGTATTAGCCTGGCACCTTGATTGCTAGTCCAGTGATATTACCACTCTGCCACTGTCTGATCTGTTAAAAGGGCTATGAGATTTGTATATAAACTAAAGGAAAAACAAATCGAAACATTTTTAAAAAATATACTTCCTGTAGGTATGCATTTAAGTCACTATTATTGGTAACGTGATCATCATCACAAAATAGATAGCAATTGCTAACTGATTCCAGAGAATGAATGAGGAAAACAAAAAAAAAACTTATAAAAAGTTTATTGAAATTTAAGTTTATACATATTATTGCACTAAATAAAAATAAATAGCAATCTGTCTACTACTGAATTGCTGGAACCACGATGTAAAATTTCAATCTAGTTAAAGCATGGCATCTATGAAAATACACTCCTGCTAATCAGCTTATTGTACAAAACATTATAGTTTGTATAAAATGCTTCAGTTTATAGATAAGAGTCAAAATATTGTATCCCTGATTTATTTAACAGATAATTCTGAATTAACTTGGTGACTGGTCAGTTTAAATAAACTGCTTGCAAAACAAGCCCAAGAAGTCTCATTGCACTCAACTGAAGGTGTCTTCAATTAATGCAATATGTGGTGCCAAAGTAATAATAAAAAAAACAAATGGAGCACAGTTGGAATGCCAAATTGATTATGCTTTTGTCATGACTATGACTAAGTTGGCATATAAAATGCCATTGCAATATCAAACATTGAAAATAATGTTCACAAGAAAACCATTGAGTTTGGCTTTGTATGTAAACACAGACACATTAGTGTTTTCCCTACCGAGTTAGTGTTGGATGCTTTAGCTTATTTTGTGAAACAAAGCTAACAATCCATGCTTAAAGCTTTACAAACAGACTTTGATGTCTGTTGCAAAATTGTTGCTTCTGGATCAATATTTGTACTTTACATTAAGGCACATATTGCCCAGGAGAACTTGATAAAAGATCAGCCAACATGTACAGTAATAAACTGCAGCACGTTCTGACTCATTGGTCATAATGTTGAAATTTCGAGGCAAGTTCCTTCAAACTGAAGGTTTTCTTCAGTAGAAATTCAGCAAACATGATAGTTTGCTTTAGAAACAATTGTTTTATGAAGTAAAACAATTTCTAGTGCTCAAATACTTAAGCTGTCAGAAATTTGCTGGAAAATTCTTGCTATGATGCTGTGCATACCACTGTTGTCTTTGCTTGCGATTTTCTAGTTCTGTCAAAAGTGCTTGTCTATAAGCCTCGTATGACTTCACAATCCTTTCCAATTCCTTCATGAACAGCAGTTTCAGTAATCCTTGGTAAGTGTCCAAGTCTGCTAGTTGAAAGAGCTCCCACTTCAGAATGTGATCGTATCTGCAATGATGACAAAAGCAACCAGGAATGTCAACTACATGTTGAAAAGAGCACATCCTTCAAGTTAACTTATACATCTGCAATTAAATGTTATTCAAATATAGTTGGGTGGGGGTGTATCCATAATGATGAAAGAAAGTCACTGTGCAATAATTCACTAGTTATATGCAACCTACAGAAAATCCTTTAAACCAATTGAAGATTCTAAATGATTTTCCTACATTCCAAAATAAAATTCTGTTTATCATATTCCCAATACAAACTTATCTCCAACACTGAAGGAATTGAGCATGTTTACAACAGATTTAATCTGTTGAGTTATCAAAGTAGTACAGGAAAGTCAGAATACCATTTAGCTAGCTAGTGAAAACTCTCCTCCATCCTGCTCACCCTCAGGCTCACACCAAGTTCGAGTCAAATTCATCGTTAAGGCACAGAACAGAAATTCCTCCTCTATTGTTTATAAAGGCTTGACAGATCAGTGGTGGCACCCCAAATGCACTTTGCATCAGGAAGATATCTGCTATATAGAAGTGCTGGGAACCTAGTTGAAATTCCCTTCTCCCACCCACAATTCATTATTTCTCTCAATCCTTGAAAATGCCAATTGTTTCTTAGGGTGCATTTATGTGACAGCACCCAGCAATCTATTGCACTGCAGCATTAAGGAGAAACACAATCTGATCCTTAGCCAGATATTCGTGAGTCTTCCTTTCCAGTCTGTTGAATTGTACAGAATTTTACGATTGTTATAAGCTACACACAGAAGCTCTGCTTTACAATTTTAAATTAAGACTTGAAAAATTTCATAAAATGAGAATTTATGAAGCCTGTCAGCTGTGGCATAACAGACTTGAGCCAAATAGTCCAATTCTGCTCCTACATTGTATGGTCTATGCCACTCTTGCTGCGACTTTCCTTATATGTAGCTTGATACACCACATCGGGGGTCTTGTACCATCTTACACCATGGGTATTTTCTGGAATCCGCTCAGTCATTTGAGTTTCTAACTTCCAACTATAGCAATGCAAATATAACAAAATTCATGCACGGGGAGTTCTCACTGCCTCCTCTCCATTTTTTGTAAATGGTTGAACAACATGTTAGCAATTTTCCTTTGCTCTAAGCTAGCAGCTGTGTATCAAAAAGGGCAATCTTGTAAAAGACTGCAGAAAATAACATATCGATGAAAAAGGGAAGAACAAGGGAATACGGGACTTTCAACAAAGAGTATCTGGTAGTCTGTGGTCTTTATGTGACACTACAGCATTATCAGTCCAATAATGAAGAATCCCCCTCCAAAAAGAGCAGATTGTTTTTAATGCAATTGACTAACAATAAACTTGCTAGAATATACTTTAAGGGTACAATAGTAAAGTTAACAAACTCAAACTACGTGTTCCTGGTTCAAGTGGTTTATCACAAATTTCATCTGCACAAACTGCCTCTTATCCAGTGATATCCATTATGGTGGGCAACTGAAACCAGGCACAAAAAAGCTTGAAACAGAAGCAATTCTATTCCATATGATCTGCCACTAAACTGTGATTTCATTGCATATTGATAACATAGTATACCCAATCTCGACTAAAGAAACATACATTCAAAAAATTAGCATTAAATTAGTGCTAAGAATTAAATTTTCCTCCTGCAATCGATGCCTTCGAAAAGCTAAACAAGAAGCAACACTGCTTAGCTGTTACTGAGGAGTAGAGACAGAGACCTTCCTTCAGCTTGTGTGCCTTATGAGCTGCGGCATATGCAAAATCAAAGGAGAACACCAAGCAACATACTAATTCAAGGATGCATCATCCGGTCTTCAATTCAGGCTATTGTAAAAAAAAAACTGTCAGATTGCTTAGAACAAAGATACCTTCATTTATTTTATTCAAATGCTTCAAAGTAAAACTAAAATGAGAGACATTACCGTAGGAATTACATTTAAGTGTTATTTTTACTTCATGACTTTTGACAAGTGCTTACTTTACTGGAGCTCTGGCATAGACCTTCAGCCAATCTGGAATTTCTGCAGTGTGGTATGGATTTGCAGGAACCAGCTGATTTCGCTCAGTTTGTCGTGGTTGGTACGTAACAGGAGGAACAAGAGGTGGAGGCTGGTCATACCGTGGAACACTGCAAAAAAGATTAAACATCAAATAACAAACATATGCAACAATTCTTGTTTTATCCACATTTTCAGCTAAGGCAAGATGTATTTTTAGTTACAGAAAATTTTATGTTCTTATGAAAAAGATGTTCAACCATGTGAATTTAAAAGACTTGGTGCTGTTGGACATGGATTAAAATGATTCTACTTGGATTCCAAAATACAATATTTGGCTTTATTAAAAATTACACACCAGCTCTTCAATTATCTTTGTAGATAAGATCTAATCCCAAGGTGGCAAACCAACAATGTTGCTTTAGCCAAGTGCCTGTTATTTTGTTTTATTCACTAATGGGACATGGGCATCACTGGTTGGTCAGCATTTATTGCATGTCCTTAATTGCCCTTGAGAAAGAGGCAGTGAGCTGCCTTCTGCAGTCCACAGGATTTTGACCAAGCAATATTGAAGGAACAGTGATATATTCCCAAGTCAGGATGGTGAGCAGCTTGGAGGAACTTGCAGGTGGTGTTCCCATGTATCTGCTGCTCTTGTTCTTCCAAATGGACGTGGATGTGGGTGTGAAAAATGCTGTTTAAGATAAATTTCTACAGTGCATCTTGCAAATAGGACCCACTGCTGCAACTGAGCACTGGTGGAGGGAGGAAGTGGATGTTCATGGATGTGGTGCGAATCAAGCAGGCGGCTTTGTCCTGGATGGTGTCAAGCTTCTTGAGGGTTATTGGAGCTGCACCCATTTAAGCAAGTGGGAGTATTTCATCACACTCCTATCTTGCGCCTTGTAGATGATAGGCAGGTTTTGAGAGTCAGGTGGTGAGTTACTCACCACGGTATTCCTAACCTCTGACTTGTTCTTGCAGCCACCATGTTTATGTGGCAAGTCCAGTTGCATTTCAGCCAATGATAACCCCAAGTAGTTGATAGGGGTGGAGGAGGAGGAGGAGGAGGAGGAGGAGGATTCAGTTATGGTAACACCACAATGTCAGACTGATGATTAGATGGTTTCTTATTGGACATGGTCATTCATGCCACACAAATGCCAGGCAATGTTGCTTGCAGCCCTATTGTGGGGATGGAGAGAAAGCATGAAGTATACTTACTTCCATCAATTGCTTCTTAGCACAAAGTCATAACACTAACTACAGTCTAACTCAAAAAATAATTCTTTTAGCAGCTAGACGAGAGGCTAAAATCTGTTGGACAAAATAAGACCTCAAACAAAATCAAATGAGCGCTGGGTTTGCCTTGAGGAATTTTAGGGGAATGGTTAACAGGAAAGATGTGTTATTGGAAGTGATTCAACTATTTGCACATTTAATGGAACGCTTACATAAGATATTGAGGAGTGCAGAACAGAATTTTAGGTATCACTGTAAGAGTGACAGAACAAAATAGATTTTCAAATATATTGACAATTTTCAGAAGATGTAAAACCATTTTCTTTTATAGAATACAGAATATACCCAGTAACAGTAATTCCCAGAGAAATGAGGTGATTTATTTTGGTACATGGAGACAATAAGGAGGAAGCAATGGCATGGTAATAGTCACTGGACTAGTAATCCAGAATCCTAGGCTAATAATCTGGGAACATGCCTTTGAATCTCACCATGGCAGATGACAAAATTTGAATTGCGTAAAATCTGACTTAATGGTGTATCATACAATGACTGCTGACTGTTGTAAAAAGCCATCTGCTTCACTAATGTCCTTTAACAAACTAACTCCAGACCTACAGCAATTTGACTCTTAACAATTAGGGTTGGGCAATGCTGGCCTAGTCAGTGAGATACCCACATCCCAATGAATTAAGAAAATACATAAAATTTCAATCCTAAAAGGGACCTGGCTATCCATGTGGACAAGTCATTAAGAAGTGGTAAGTCATGTCAACAGAGTGGCTAATAAAGCATGGACTTTATTAACAGGATACAGTCCAAGAGCAAAGAAGATATAGTGACCTTGTAACTTGTAGTCGGCTCAACCTCAACCTTGTTCAACCTTGCCTCAACCTCAGAAGCAGCACTGCACACAATTCTAGGTGTTACTCTTTAGAAAGGATGTGAAAGTACGGGGGAGAGATACAGATTTACAAAAATGGCTCCAAAGACGAGGATCTTTATTATGAAGATAGATTGGAGCAGTTAGAACCATTTTCCTTGGAGAAGAGAAGGCCGAGAGGAGATCTGAGACGTATTCAAAATCATGAAATGCCTAGACAAAGCAGACAGGGAGAAACTGCTCCCATTCAAAGGGATTGAGAATAAGAGGGCAAAGATTTAAAATAATGACAAAAGCAAAAGCAATATACTTGTAAAACTTGTTCATGCAGTAGGTAATTAAGGTCTGGAATATGCTGTCCCGAGCGCATAGTAGACAGGTTAAGTCAAGGGATTCAAAAGGAAATAGACTGCTATTTAAATAACGTGCAAGGTTACTGGGAGAAGAATGGAAAATGGTACTAGGTGAAATGCTCATTTGGAGAGCTGGTGCTAACAAAAAGTTTCTATGTTTCATATGCTATAGTACTGTGTTCTATGCTATAATAATACTTCCTCTTACAATGTCAAGAAATTTACACAGACAAAATTAAAACATGATAAACACAGTTACTATGCAAGGGGTGCTTTTGACATCCAAGTGAAAATTCCTCCAGGAATGCAGTGAACAGTCTGCTATTGGTGTTTGATACAAATTCAAGATGGGTACTCAAAGTTAAAACCATGAAATTATGCCAACTGGATAATGGATATAAGATGCTGGCACACACAAAGTAAGGTTATTCACATAAAAAAATGCTAAGCCAAATACTATAGTGAAACACAAACATGATGTTGAAACCATGTTTTCTGAGATGAAGATAATAGAGGGATCAATCCATATCCAATCCTTACTTTACTGTAGAATAGTGGTCAACATGATTTACAATCTAATCAAAGTTTACTTCAAAATATTCTGATCATATTTTAAACATGAACTTTTACATTATTATTTTGTGGCAATTACTGACTAATTCCAAATTAAAATGAAAACAGATAGGTGATAAAGCAATTTTTGCACACTTACATACAGCATTTGCTTACACATATTTACTTTCAAAGCAAATTTTGGGATAAATAAAAATTCTTTACTGCACCTGGGAGCACAAGGGTGCCTATACTGGGCTCGCTTGTTGATGTGATCTACATAATAAACACCAAATTCAGGTGATTCCACTCGCTCCCATCCAGGTGGCAAGCCTTCTCTTTCAAGCGGATGGCTCCAATGAGTTGTGTTAGTATTATGGTCTATATAGTATTTTCTTCCTCGAATAGTCCAATCCGCTGACCAACCAAGAGGAAGAGGCAATTCGTCAGTACCATGATTTGTTAGGTTTCCCATAGACGTTGAAGGAACTCTTCCTATGCCTAAACATGCACAGAAAAGAAATTAAATATTCTCCTTTAGAAACAAACAAATTAAGTGGATATTTTTATTCTAAGACAAAACAAGTCTGAAGTTTCTCCAGCAGAAAATTATGGATTAACACCTACAAGGGACACATTTCATTCAAATAAAATTTAAAATTTTACTCAAATAAAAAGGAACCTGGATAGACAAACTTGCATTTACAGGGACGGAGCTAGAAATGGGTCTAACTGGATTGTTATACAGAAAGTTGGGATAAACTCAATGGGTCAAATGCCCTCCTTAAACAAACAAGAGGTCCTCAGCCTTCAATGACTGTTAACTGATATATTTACCTAGAAATGTGACGTGATCAAAATCCCAATGCCACAAAACCAACTAATGTGGAACCATTGTGAACTATGGTAGATTTGAGATGTACAATTTAGAATTAGCTTTCATAGCCTCAATTACAATATTTGATGATGAGATCCAAAAAGTTAATTTCAGAAGTGACATTCAAACTTTGTAGCCCAAACTACTTATGCAAGTACAAAATAAATTTCACGTGAATGAACATCAAAATTTAATAGATTCAGTCAACTTTTGACTATATGCCTAAACAACCTTTCCTTCATATCAGGTCACAAGTGGCAAACACTGACAGTTAAGCCGTGCAATTAAAAGTATGACCTTCAAATGAAATCATAGGACTGATTACCTTATCCAGATCATAAAGATAAACAAGCTCTCACACGTTCATTAGAAATTGACGACACAATGCAAATGTTTTAGAAATTAAGAAGTGACATGTAACTGGACTGATCAGGTATCAGCAAATCCAAACAGGACTGAAATCCCAGGATGTCATTATTGGCAAAAGTTAAACTTTGCTATTCAATAGTTTACCAGCAGTTTCTCCTCCACTCAAAAAATATGGAGTAGTTGGAACACCATTTCTGGAATTTCTACCTCTTTCAAAGAACTGTCAAAACGACAAAAGTCACGGCACATCTCAGAAGCTAGACATTCTTCAGTTCCAATAGCGTGGGCTTCATGTCCAGATTAGCACAATGTCACTATTTCAATAAGTGAGTGAACAACATTCGATATAGGATAACACGGTGTGGAGCTGGACGAACACAGGATAGGCAGCTTAAGAGCAGGAAAGTTGATGTTTCGGGACCCAAAAGTCAACTTTCCTGCTCCTCTGATACTGCCTAGCCTGTGTTCCTCCAGCTCCACACTTATCTGTCTCCAGCATCGGCAGTTCTCACTATCTCTGATTTGGTATAGGAGGTTTTTCACTTTAAAGAAAATCAAGAAACCGTTGAAAGAACCACTGATTGTTGTATCTATAAAAGTAACCTCTCGAGGTGACTAGAATTGTCTTGCTGGACCCATTTAGGACCAGATCTTGTTCTTGGCTAGTGTCCACAGCTAGGTACTATATTTAATATAGTAGCAAACAAATGTCCAATGATAGTACCACCTGTAGGTACACAGCATCAAGGGTTAAAAGAAATTTCTCCCTGGTCAAGCTCAACAGTGGGGATACCCAACGTCGACACCATTCTATAAGTTGCAATGCAGTTGAGTCTTGCCTCTCCATACAGTAGAGATACAGCACAATCAGCATAATCCTGAACTTACAAATTAACTACAGCAAAATTGTTTGTTGCTGACCACAAGAATATGTACACATTTTTACAGTTATTCCTTTCCGTCATCTTGAATTTCCTACTGCAACAAGTGCACTCAAAACCTGCTAGACTGTCATTATGTGCAGCATTACAAGAACAAATTCAAGTAAACAAACTACTGCAACTGGTTACAAAACCCAAGCTTATCAGCATCCGTGGAGGGAAAAGACGACGGAATGATTGCTTTGCTATTTTCCTCCATGTCAGTAGAAGATTCTGATCTTGCATAATGCAATTGTAGGAAACTTATTTACCTTTCTCTAGCAATACTTCAGCCTGTTGTTCTGAAAATATGATTTCAGCAAACTCATCCCAGCTACATGTTCATTTCTGAACAACAGTATTTGCAATCGAGAGGTGGGTGAAAGTAGCAGCTCTAGCCAAAATTAGATTGGGGCGTGGTGCAGAGAGAGTTCATACTTAAAGGCATTGATCTGTTTCCTCTTACTTTCATCTTTTTTGGGAACATGCAGATGTCTTCAGCACTGTGTTTAAAACAGATTTTTGTACCTACAGATTTTAGTAAGTTTTCTTCCTCTATTTGTTTCTTCCAACAGCCCTATACTCTTGCCTTTTAGTTCATGTAGGATTGTCCAATATCTTTTTATTTTTTCCTTAGCTAGCCATATCTTCTTTTAATGTCATTTAATTACCTTAAAATCAGGTCAGTGCTCTGTTCATCAAGCACCTGTCAATCTGCAGATCATTCAAGTCAGTAACTTGCATATTCTTTTTCTCTCCTCCAGATCCCAAAATCTTTCAATTTTTAAGTTTGAAACTTACATTTAAAATGAAACTGTGTACTTTCAACATTTGCTGTTTCTACAAGGGGATCAGGGTAGACATGAAAGCAACAGCATCCAGTACAGGCTTCATAAAGATTGGTTGCTGAAATAAGGTTAACCAGAAGTGAAGTGCACTAGTTTGCTCTCTGAACCTTGTGAAAAATAATGAAAGGACCCTCCTAGACTGATGCTTCTTTGAAAGTTGCGTTCACAAATAGACAGGGTAGTTAAGGAGGCATTTTGCACGCTTACCTTCCTTGCTCAGACCACTGAGTGAGAGTTGGGCTCTCATTTTGTGGTTGTACAGGGCGTTACTGAGGCCATTTTTGGAGTACTGTGTACAGTTCTGGTCACCCAGCTATAGGATGTTCTTAAGTTGGAGAGGGTTCAAAAGATTTACAAGGATTTGCCGGAACTGGAGAGTGAGAGTTATAATGTGAGGCTGGATAGGCTGGGACTTTTGTCACTGGAGCGTAGGAAGTTGAAGGGTGACCTTATAGAGGTTTATAAAATCATGAGGGGCACAGATAAGGTTAATAGTAAAAAGCCCTTTTCCTTAGGATAGGGGAGCTCAAAACTACAGGGTATATTTTTAAGGAGAGAGGAGAAAGATTTACAATGGACCTGACAGTGTTTAATATCACCTAATTCTGGTTCGTTTACATAACTTTCAAACCAATTATAACCACATTGACGCAAGTAGAAACTTGCCCAAGCAAGTGAGAGCACAGTAAGGTATCACAATCCAAATGACTTGAGGTGTGGTTACCTTTCTTTGTATAATCTTCATTTAATACCAAAAGTATTACCAACTTTACCTAGAACATTATCTGAATGTTTGAAGAGGTTAGTCAGAGGCAAATTCTGAAAAGTATTTTGCAAATATACCAAAATATTAACTGTAGACGATAGAGTTGTGGTTTGTAAACAATAGTGAAAGAGTTGGCAAATAGTAAGGAAGCTTCCATAAAGCAGAGACAACAAGGTGTAGAGCTGGATGAACACAGCAGGCCAAGCAGCATCAGAGGAGCAGGAAGGCTGA